GGCGGCGGGCGGGAGTGGCTTCCGCAAGCAGCGACTGGCCACGAACAGTGAGACGGTGGAGCTCGACAGGTCTGGGGCGGGCACAGCCAATGCGGTGCTGTCGACGACACACGCCATCAACGCCGAGGACATCATCCCCGATGTGGTGGAGGAGCAGGTGCATGGAAGCGGGCACGGCTTCAACGCCTTCGACGCGACAGCGCACCACTACCAGCGGCAACGACAACAACGGCAGAAACAGCCGCGGAACAGGGCGACGGGCGCGAGAGGACGTACGGGGCAAAGCGATGCCACCACCAATGCGCCAACAACAACAACAACAACAGTACCAGCAGCAGCAGCAGCGAGAGAATGGGGAGGCAACGCAGCTGCTGCACCGCCTACCGTTGCGCGTCGCAAAAAGGCAAGAGATGACCCAGTTAACATCTTTGACTTGGATGCCCTTTTTTAAAACGACGCAGTTATTCCTATTATTATTTTTGTCGTTTGTAGTTGTTATCGTTGTTGGCGTTTCTCGTGTTTGGTGTTGGTTGGGTCTCTTCACATCGCCGAGTGACACGGGCGGCGGTGCTTACCTTTGCTCACTCGTGCCCGCTTCAATATTTGCTTGCTCTGTTGGTGGCGCTTAGACCTTTTCTGTACTCCTGCGATTCGCTCATGAGCACAACGCACCACAACAGTTGTGCACCTTACTTGCCTCTCCTACCTGCTGTTTCTCACCACTCCTCCTTGTACTCCTCCATGTTTCTTCGTATCGGGACTTGGGAGTCATCTGCTTGTGTAGAGCTACACACACACACACGCACACCCGTTCACACATATAGACGGACAGCAGCAGCGGCATCGTCAGCAGCAACATTATATTTCCTAGAAGCGTCTGCCTCATCGATTCAACTACACAGTCTGTCCATCCAATCCATTTCAGTGCAGAGACGTTGAGCCAATGCACTCCACTGTAGGCATGCAGGACATGACGGAGAGCGAGCTGGTGGGCTACGCTCTGTTGGTGCTGCCGCCCAAGAAGGAGCTGCGCAAAAAAGGTTACCACGTGGAGAGCATCCACACCACGTCTAACCGCGACCATCCCCTCGCCAAGTGGTCAACGTACACGCTGAAGAAAGGTTCCACATACCGTGACGCCCTCGACGCCATTGAGGAGGCCAACAAGAACGCGTGGGGGCTGCTCAAGGCCCGCATCAACTTCGCCTGCGGCTCCTTTGACACCTACGCGCGCCTCAACCCCAACGATCCGATCACGCTGAAACACACCGGTACGTATGACCCTAACGGCGTGTACAAGAGCGTCACGGTGGAGGCGGCGACGGTGGGCCGCACGCGTTTGCTGCCACGCTTGCGGCCTCTCGTTGACGAGCGTGGGCACCACACGTGTGCGCGTTCGCTGCCTCGCACGTTTGCACCCCAGGTGATGTACAAAGATTACCCGCCGCCGGTGCTGTCGCAGGCCGGCTACGACTTCACGCCGGTCAGCCACACTGCATTCCTGCTGCGCTCTGCCGACCCGCCGCAGGGCGTGCGCGACGTGAAGAGCGACTTCACGAAGAACAGCTGCGACTACCGGCCACGGTCGTACCTGCGCGATGAGGTGGCCGGCGGCGTCAACAGCCGTCACTGCCACTGCGCTGAGGTCTACCAGGTTGGCGACTACACAGTGGACCTCGCACGCAACACAGACACAGTGAACCACCGCAACCGTCTCGTGACGNTGCGCTGAGGTCTACCAGGTTGGCGACTACACAGTGGACCTCGCACGCAACACAGACACAGTGAACCACCGCAACCGTCTCGTGACGAAGGAGTTCACATCGACAGGCACGCTCAAGCCGAGCAGCACCGTGGTTGGGCGGCGCCACGCCAAGGTGCCAAGGTTCCCCTGCACTCACCACACAAAGGGCGGCGCCACGCAGGACACCGCCAACGTCAAGGACGCTAGCGCCACTGACCCCAGAGGCCACGACGCCACGGACCTGACCGCCACGGCCACAGCAGCTGGTGCTGATATTGTTGATCAGACACCTGTACAGGAGACGCCAGAGCGTGCGAAGCCGCGGTTGCCTGCGGAGGCGCGGTCTGTGCATTTCCGGGAGCAGGGGGCCACAGTGGCTTAGACAACTCACTCGATGTCTGCTCGTGTGTATGCTTCTGCTATATATGTCATGTAAGTATGTAAAGAGGGAGAGCTGCTGTTACTGAGAAGACTACATGGGTATATATATATATATATATATATATA